AAGAAGAAGAACAAAATGAAGAAGAAGAGAAAAAAGGAATCTGAGAAGATTCATAGAAGAAGAAGAAGAAGAAGAAGAAGAAGAAGAAGAAGAAGAAGAAGAAGAAGAATTTCGGTAATGAGGATGTATGAAGAACGACGCAGAGGAAAGGTTACTTTGCACCCCGATCTTGAGGGTGGGTGGGTCAGTCACCCGGCGTTGAAACAAGACAGTGCTTCGACCTGACTTCAAGTGTCATTCATCCGCACCGTTGTCTCTAATAGGACGTGAAAGTTCGACGTAATGAAAACTAATTGATAACTTAACGTCCGATACCACACGTTCGCGATACGGTCCACTGCTCACAACTCTTCTTCGATTTATCTTTTGGCCTGCTGCTTGTAATTAGCAAGAACGCGTTTTGCTGTGACGCCGGAGAAGTGGTCAGGCAGGAGACGGGGGTCGATGAAACCAACCGCCCCTTTCTATCTCGACTCTCTCAGCGCCTTGATCCTCTCCTCCCCTCGAGAAACTATTTTTCCCCACCCTGCCTTCTAAACCTTGATTTTCCCTCCAACCATTGCTAAATACTATTCAAGACACCGAGACACGAACACTGCCTCCCCGGCAAACATCATTAACAAGAAGACGAAGAAGGGTCTAAGGGAGTTTCCTTGCGCGAAACCTTTACTTCGACTCAGGTCCATAGGCCTGGTCGGAGCAAATGCGACCGGCGGCGGAGGTTGGTTTGGTGGGTGTGCAAGAAGGCGGTAGAAGGTTTGTGCGGGTACATGCGTGGGTAGTGGTAGAGGGGAGGAAAGGTGCCTATCCATCTTGCTCACCGACCGACATCCGTCAACAATAAAATAAGCATGTCTAGCGGGGAAGCTCCACCATATCCACCGCCACCCCCGTATCCGACAACGCCCTTCTTCTTCCTTTTCGTCATGACTCTTCGTCAATTATTTTCTTCTCTGTCATACCGCTTCGTCGTCTTCTAGCTTCGACCAGTCTCTTTTGCCTTCGTCATTCAGTAACCTTTTTTCCTGACCGCTCCCCTTATTCCACGAAATCTGGGAGTCAGAAAGGGTTTGGAAATCACCCAAACTGATCGGTCGTCATCATTATAGCCATCATTTTCTCGTGCTAATTCTTCGTCTTTTTCCTTCTTTCTTTTCCAACTTAGGCTTTTTTTTTAATACTATATATCATTCAACCATCAATTCTTCTTCTTCTTCGTCTTCTTCTTCTTCTTCTTTATCCATCTGTCTTTCTCCGTCTTCATTTTTCACACTTAATTTTCATTCATTCATTCTTCTTCTTCTTCTTCTTCTTCTTCTTCTTCTTTATCCATCGGTCTTTCTCTGTCTTCATTTTTCACACTTAATTTTCTTTCATTCATTCATTCATTCATTCATTCTTCTTCTTTATTCATCGGTCTTTCTCCGTCTTAATTTTTCACACTTAATTTTCATTCATTCCTTCATTCATTCAATCACTCGTTTATTCTTTTTTTCCTACGTATATTTCATTTACTCATTTTCCCTCATAATATAACTCTACTTTTTTCACACTTAATTTTCATTCTTTCCTTCCTTCATTCATTCATTCTTCTTCTTCTTCTTACTCAGTTTATCACCGACTTTTTCCACACTTAATTTTCATTCATTTCTTCTTCTTCTTCTTCTTCTTCTTCTTCTTCTTCTTCTTCTTCTTCTTCTTCTTCTTCTCTGACATTTTCTATCACCGACATTTTCAACACTTAATTTTCATTCATTTCTTCTTCTTCTTCTTCTTCTTCTTCTTCTTCTTCTTCTTCTTCTTCTCTGTACCACAGTCTATCACCGACATTTTCCACACTTATTCATTCATTCATTCTCCTTCTTTTCCGTATATTTTAATTTACCCATTTTCTCTCAGTCTATCAACACGTTTTTCACAATTAATTATCATTCATTCATTCATTCTTCTTCTTCTTCTTCTTCTTCTTCTTCTTCTTCTTCTTCTTCTTCTTCTTCTTTATAACCCAGTCTGTCACAGACTTTTTCCACACAATTTTCATTCATTCATTCTCCTTCTTTTCCTTATTTAATTTTTTATTATATTTGTGATTTCTTTTCACTCTTGATTATCATTCATTCGTTCTTATTCTTCTTCATTATTTGTCTCTCATTTATTCTCATTTTTTTCGCGATTAATTTTCATTCATTCATTTATCCTTCTCCTTTTTTCGTGTCTTTATTCATTTTATTCACATTCTGCACCATCCTATTTCCTTCTCTTGATTTTCATTCAGGTACTTCTTCTTCTACTTCTTTATCCATCAGTCTATCGACGCCTTTTTTCACACTTAATTTTCATTCATTCTTCTATTTTTCTTTACACATTTTCCCTCATTGTATCTCTGCTTTCTTTTTCACATTTAATTTTCATTAATTCGTTCTTCTTCGTCGTCGTTGTTTTCTTCTTTGTCTCCTTCTTCTTTATCTTTCATTCTATCCTAGTCTTTGCACACACTTGATTTTCATTCATTATTCTTCTTCTTTTCCATCTATTGATTATTTACACACTTTTCCTAGTCTATATTTTTTGACTCTTAATTTCCATTATTCATCAATTCGAACAATCTTCAACTTCTTGCTTATCACTTATTCTCTTTTATGACACTTAATTTTCATTCATTCAGTTTTTCATCTTTTTACTTATTTATCACTCATTTTCTTTCATCATTCTTAATTTTCATTCATACAGTTTTTTCGTCTTATTATTTATTTATCATTCATTCTCTTTTATCATACTTAATTTTCATTTATTCTGTTTGTTTTTCATCTTTTACTTATTTATCACTCATTTTCTTTTATGACACTTGGTTTTCATTCCTTCAGTTTTTTTCATTTTCTTGCTTATTTATCATTCATTTTCTTTTATCACGCTTGATTTTCATTCATTTTTTTTCATCATACTTCTTTATTACTCATTCTAAGTCATTCATTCATTTTTCACATTTTGATTCATTGATTCATTTTCTTCTTTAATGAATTAGATGTATAAAACGATATCATGTTTAGTTTAAAATACCTTACATAAAATATACAATAACTATTAATAAATTAAAATAATTCAACTTCTGTTTCAATTTCAAATAGACGCGAAAAAATTGTAAAAAATTGGAAATAAATTTTTCTGCATAAATATATATAATAATTTATAATCAAATTTTTTTGCATATATATATATATATATATATATATATATATATATATATATATATATATATATATACACACACACACATATATATATATATATATATATATATATATATATGCGTATGTTCAAGTTTCATTAAAAACGACTGACAAGTTATTGCAATCTTTATCTTTGTATTCATGTTTTGTGTTCGCATCAGTGGTTTGTTTAGTGTGCAAAAATTGTCTGAATGTTGTGCATATTCGAGAAATTTCAGCTATACTGTTAGCCATTATCAACGGTTGGATTTTGTTTTTACTTTTAACTGAATATATTGATTGTTTTATGAGTGTATCTAGAATTATAGGGTTGTTTTATTTTCGAAACACGGTCAGACCATTGTGGCCGTGTTCATAGTTGATATTACTGAGTGTAGGATTTTTCCTTTTTCATTAATAATATTTCCATTATTTTGGGCCTTTTTTATATGTGGATGAGGCTATTATATTTGTATTATCACGAGTATATTACGGATAGATTTTGGTAGTTCTCCATGTGTATTTAAATGAGATTTAATTGAGGTATGTTTAGATGGATGTAACGTGAGTCGTCCTCTTAGGCATGTTGTAGTATATCCAATATAATTATTTACGAATCTGGATTGATCATGAAAACAGATCCTCAAGGTTCTCTGTAATTTAAAAGGCGCAGGCCGAGTTATTATTTTTGAATGTGCGTTTAGCAGATTTTTTTTTTTTATCTTGGATAATTAATTTAATTTTCTTGTTTTTTGTCAAAGACATGATTAATCGCAATACATTGTCTGTCGTTTTTAATGAAACTTGCATTAAAGATAGATTGCTTCCCAAATACAACAATTATATATATATATATATATATATATATATATATATATATATATATATATATATGAGTTGTAACGTATATAATAACGTAATGTATATATGCATATATATATATATATCCATGAAGAAGGCTCATGATAGTGTACACACAGTCAAAAAAGCCAAATAACATCAATATTTTCTACAAAAGCCAAATGGGCGTCAACTACAAACAAGATGATTATTCACCTAGAAATATCATAAAGAAACACACTACACTAACTGACCCGAATAAAAAATCATATATATATATATAGCAAGAAAAATGAAGATGAAAGAAATACTAGTGAAAAATGAATAATAATTGCCAATGCTTCATCTAAGAAGGCTAACCAGCAGGAGTCATTCAAATTTAGCCATATAGCTATATTCTCTACTTCTACTTCTTATGGATGGCAGTTGCAATAAAAAGCAAGAGAAATGAAGATGAAAGAAATACTAGTGAAAAATGAATAATAATTGACAATGCTTCATCTAAGAAGGCTAACCAGCAGGAGTCATTCAAATTTAGCCATATAGCTCTATTCTCTACTTCTACTTCTTATGGATGGCAGTTGCAATAAAAATCAAGAGAAATGAAGATGAAAGAAATACTAGTGAAAAATGAATAATAATTGCCAATGCTTCACCTAAGAAGGCTAACCAGCAGGAGTCATTCAAATTTAGCCATATAGCTCTATTCTCTACTTCTACTTCTTATGGATGGCAGTTGCAATAAAAAGCAACAGAAGTGAAGATGAAAGAAATACTAGTGAAAAATGAATAATAATTGACAATGCTTCATCTAAGAAGTCTAACATAAAATAAAACGCAAAACAAAACTTCTAAGAGTCTTCGTTAATAAACAAGGTCTCTAATACCGTAAACCAAGTTTTAGAACTGATAGAATAATTAACCTATTATTAAAAAGTAGTCAATATGGTTCTCTTCATAATTACAAGGGTGAATTGCTAAACAAATGACCCCGATCCAATAAAAAATATTCAAGCTTGAGACTATAAAATAATAAAACTATTATCACAATGAAAAATAATTATTTTATCTTGAAAATTATGACTGTTGACTGATAAATAAATTCTCCAGTAATATAAATAAAAACTCATCTCCCGATGTGTTAATCGAATACTTACAGTTTCATACGCTTTTGAATTTCGACTGGCGCTCGAACTTCAAGCGCCAAAGTCCCATATCGCTTCTGTCCATTTACTAAGTGTTGTGCCATAGTAACTATTCTATTGTAATGGACTCTCCATAGATAATAAAACAGTGGCAATCTGCAGAATGGCATCTCGCGGTCTTTGACTGCAGACGCCTCCTGTCTTCTCTGCGTTAATTACGAAGCAAGGGCAAGGTTTCGTCAGGGAGGTGGACGAGGCCTGAACCCGTCTAATCGGCTTCAAAAAGTATTTTTTGGCCGAGCCTACGGGCTCAAGGGAAAATAAAAAACGGCCTTGTGCCATATTCTTTTTCCTGTGGGTGAAAGATAAATACCGAATGGCATCTCGCGGTCTTTGACTGCGGACGCCTCCTATCTAACTCTCTGCGTTATGAAACGAAGCTTTGCCGAAGGGCAAAGGTTTCGTCCGGGGAAATTACAGGGCCTGAACCCGTCTAATCGGCTTCAAAAGGCTATTTTTGGCCGAGCCTAATAAAACATAAAAAACGGCCTTGTGCCATATTCTTTCAGTGGGTGAAAAGATAAATACCGAATGGCATCTCTCGCGGTCTTTGACTGCGGACGCCTCCTCCAAACTCTCTGCGTTAGCAGAAGAGGAACCAACGAAGCTTTGCCGAAGGGCAAGGTTTCGTCCGGGGAGGTGAACAGGGCCTGAACCCGTCTAATCGGCTTCAAAAGGCTATTTTTTGGCCGAGCCTACGGGCTCAGGGAAACCCATAAAACCGGCCTTGTGCCATATTCTTTTTTCCTGTGGGTGAAAAGATAAATACCGAATGGCATCTCGCGGTCTTTGACTGCGGACGCCTCCCCATCTAACTCTCTGCGTTAGCAGAGGAACCCGGACAAGCTTTGCCGAAGGGCAAGGTTTCGTCCGGGAGGTGAACAGGGCCTGAACCCGTCTAATCGGCTTCAAAGGCTATTTTTTTTTGGCCGAGCCTACGGGCTCGGGAAACCCATAAAAAAACGGCCTTTGTGCCATATTCTTTTTCAGTGGGTGAAAAAGATAAATACCGAATGGCATCTCGCGGTCTTTGACTGCGCACGCCTCCTAATAACTCTCTGCGTTAGCAAGAGGAACCCGACGAAGCTTTGCCGAAGGGCAAGGTTTCGTCCGGGGAGGTGGATGGGCCTGAACCCGTCTAATCGGCTTCAAAAGGCTATTTTTTGGCCGAGCCTACGGGCTCAGAAACCCATAAAAAACGGCCTTGTGCCATATTCTTTTCAGTGGGTGAAAGATAAATACCGAATGGCATCTCGCGGTCTTTGACTGCGGACGCCTCCCGTTCTAACTCTCTGCGTTAGCAGAGGAACCCGACGAAGCTTTGCCGAAGGGCAAGGTTTCGTCCGGGGAGGTGGACAGGGCCTGAACCCGTCTAATCGGCTTCAAAAAGGCTATTTTTTGGCCGAGCCTACGGGCTCGGGGAAACCCATAAAAAACGGCCTTGTGCCATATTCTTTTCAGTGGGTGAAAAGATAAATACCGAATGGCATCTCGCGGTCTTTGACTGCGGACGCCTCCTGTCTAACTCTCTGCGTTAGCAGAGAGGAACCCGGACGAAGCTTTGCCGAAGGGCAAGGTTTCGTCCGGGGAGGAACAGGGCCTGAACCCGTCTAATCGGCTTCAAAAGGCTATTTTTTTGGCCGAGCCTACGGGCTCGGGGAAACCCACATAAAAACGGCCTTGTGCCATATTCTTTTCAGTGGGTGAAAAGATAAATACCGAATGGCATCTCGCGGTCTTTGACTGCGGACGCCTCCTGTCTAACTCTCTGCGTTAGCGAGAGGAACCCGACGAAGCTTTGCCGAAGGGCAAGGTTTCGTCCGGGGAGGTAGACAGGGCCTGAACCCGTCTAATCGGCTTCAAAAAGGCTATTTTTTTTGGCCGAGCCTACGGGCTCGGGGGAAACCCACAAAAAACCGGCCTTGTGCCATATTCTTTTCCGTGGGTGAAAAGATAAATACCGAATGGCATCTCGCGGTCTTTGACTGCGGACGCCTCCTGTCTAACTCTCTGCGTTAGCAGAGAGGAACCTGACGAAGCTTTGCCGAAGGGCAAGGTTTCGTCCGGGGAGGTAGACAGGGCCTGAACCCGTCTAATCGGCGTCAAAAGGCTATTTTTTGGCCGAGCCTACAGGCTCAGGGGAAACCCACATAAAACCGGCCTTTGTGCCATATTCTTTTCCTGTGGGTGAAAAGATAAATACCGAATGGCATCTCGCGGTCTTTGACTGCGGACGCCTCCTGTCTAAC